ATCCGGGAAGGGCGGCAGTCCGTTGAGCACGGCGCTTCTGGGAAATCGGTTGATTGGTTGTTGCTACTTTTGGAAGTATCGATATTTCATGGAGCTTGACTGGAGTCTGAGCAGCGCTGACGTCGGCCAGCGTCTTTGAATGCGCCGAGTTGACTGGTGGCTGCGTAGTAATAACGAAGCACGTTGTTCTTTTGCATATCAGTTCTTCCCCCAGAGAATAATTATTCTCAAGGGAGGATTGTCGAACTGCCCCGTTTGCAAGACTTGCGTTTGCCGTTCCAGTACCAGCGAATCTTTCTAGTCGGGAGAAAGGACTAGCAAGCATGAATTCAGCCCGTGTACCCCTTTTTGTTTAATTCCTGCCCGTTTGTCACATCACATGCAGAGAGAGTCCAACTTCAGGAACAGCTGCACGAGAAGGTCCCGTCGCGGGACCTTCTAGAAGATAAACAAACACTTGCTGGCTTAGATGCATGGGCTACGGAGCATAGGCAGCTAAAATCTACACCCACCAATCTCTCCTCCACTACTACGGGTAGAGAAACAAGACGGAGAAAGAAGAACCAAAGAGGAGCAAAAAGGAGGTGTTCAATATGGGTGAAATCCAACGGGCCAGGCCGGTTGGACGTTACCCATATTTCACGCTCCGCACTCGACATTATATTGAAGCGCTTGCAGCGTGACTGGCGGTAGCAGAAGAGCGGGGACATCCCGACAACTCATGCAAACACCCTGCAACCACTAACATAGCCACGTAGCTTGGCGAACAGTTAGTATCACTAACCGCGGCATGTTACATTCAGCATACTCGAGGACGTCATCAGTTCCCATTTCACTGAGTCTTCCGATACCGGTAGTTTGAGGGGCCACTGGGTGGCTGGCTGGCTAGACGCTGCATATAACTAGAAAGGGCAGCCAAGGTGTACACAATGTTCTATCGAGCTGAAAAGCTTTTCACGAAGAGCTACGATGCAAGATCGGCTTCCGAGCCCAATGGCTGCGGGCACAGGTATCAACAGTAAAAGGATGTTGTCTTTAGCGTCCGTGGAAACGGAAAACACGAGCTACGCACTACATCTAAAACAACTGATGCGACTCCAGCTACTCGAGGAGTCGCATCTGTCCTGCAGCTCTTGGGTTCTAAAAGCGGTTACATATCTGCGTCTCTTTGCCGCCAACGCTGCGAACTATGTGCAGCGCTACCAATACTGGCTGCTGTCACAGTTGCAGTTACTCAGTTCCTTAACAATGACGGCTTCCCAATGCATCAAGGTCCTCGATTTTGCTGCTGGGGGTCATTTCTTTGAAATCGTTCTGTTGTTGCCTGCGTCTTCTAGCAGCAGCTGCTGTGGCAGCGCGGTATGATTGCCTTCGTTGGGCTCTGTTAAGGCCACATCTGCTCTCTTTTCCTTCGGATGCTTGTCTGCGGGAAGCTGCAGACGATGTGGACTGCACGTCTTCCCACTCGGGTTCTGCTTGTTCTTTCTGCCGTGTTTGTCTTCTCCGGCACATGCTGCAGCCGAGTGATTCGCATATGTGCTGAATGCCAAACCACATCAGAGCAAGGCGGAANTCCGGCACATGCTGCAGCCGAGTGATTCGCATATGTGCTGAATGCCAAACCACATCAGAGCAAGGCGGAATCTCAGCTTATCCATGAACGAAGCCCGCCCGGCATTCATCGCTTGATATTTGTTCAAAAAGGCGGTGATCTTTTTTAGCTCCGCCACGTCCGCACTACCGGCCTTGCCTTTGCTTTCCAACAGCGCAGTCACAGCTTCCGCCACGGCCTCTTCGCTAAAATTGTTGTAAGTATTACTATCCATACCGGAAGCTCGCATGGCAGCTTGCACGGCGGCAATGTCTTGCACCATATTCCGACTGTACTGCTGCCAGTCCGTAGTGGACTGCTTTTTCGAAGTGAACCCACGAAGCCAGTCCTTGACAGAATTCGTTAAACCCTTCTTTTCTGCAGCTGCTGCTTCTGCAGCAGGAGATTCTGCTGCCTCCGATCGCGGGTCGTGCTCCAGCATACGGAACACTCCCTGAAGCAGTTTCTTTTCCTTTACTGCATGCGCTGCCTTAAGGCGCCGTAGCTGCGCCTGCAGCGACAAGGCCAGCGGGCTTCCTGGGGATACGGTCAAATACCGATCTAAGGTCGCCAATGCGCCGTCAAAGTCCCCCAACTCCTGTTGCGACTGCAAGGCCAAACGCAACAACAAGCACAGTACACGAAGCTTGCTGTACGCATACTGCGTGGTCGTTCTCATCCACGTACACATTTCTGTTTTCTTGTTTGTTTGTCATCTCAGTTAAGCTACATCGGAGCACCAAATATAAACAAAAGGACGAAGGGAACGAACCACCTCATACGAGCGTTAGATGTGCTGCTGTTACACTTAGCTGCTGCCCCGTACCTGAGCTTTTCTGTAGAGAGCCTTCACAGCTGTCGGGTCACGCTGCAGTACCTTGTCGCAGTACAAGATGCACGCAGCCCAGCGGCCCTCCTTGAGGGTCGAGAGCGACAAATTCAACAAGTACGACTGGTGCATCTGCAGA